GACAGGAATACGTGGAAATCTTTAGAGGAGGCCTTTGTCGACAGACAAGCTGTTCAACATAAGCAACCAGTTGCCGATCACTTTAATACAAATTAGAATGTATATTTAGTTTTTAGCAAGTAGGCAAAGTTATTGTAAAAGAAACAGCAATAAAGGCTATTTTATTTTATTTATTTTAAGCGAAAATCACTGCGCGCCACACATTTTTTGGCAAGCAAACATGAAATCATACGCCAAATATTATCGCGTAAGCGCCATTGGTTAAAAACACACCAAAATATATATCGCTTCAGCGTTGTGAACTTATAACAAACAATCTTTAAAAAATTGAGTTGCTTAAACACCAAAAAAATACTCAAATCTTCACGAAACATAAATAGATCGACACAGAAAAAGCTGATTAAAATCATATGTATGTATATATATATATATATATATAACTAGTTTCAACCAAAGCGATTTTGCCTTTTCACTGTCGTTATATCTAATATATAAAATTCTCGTGTCACGGTGTGCGTAATAGAACTACTCCGAAACGGCTTGACCGATTCTCGTGAAATTTTATATGCATATTCAGTATGTCTGAGAATCGGACAACATCTATTTTTCATCCTCCTAAATGTCAAAGTTGGTCCATCCTTATATATATATATATAAATCGACCAATCCATAGAATAAAGCTACATCTGCATAATCCCTACTTTACAGTAGAGCGATTTGAAGTTTGTAAGATGTAAAATTTGCTTTAACTTGTTTTGGTATTTTTCTATCAATTGTTTTTTTACCAATCATATAAAGCATTGAGAAGCAAATTATGACGCATTTATTGTTTAAAAAAAAATAGATTTACGGCTCATATTTTGTCATTTATCTTATTATTTATTTTATTTATTTAGGGTATCTTATGTGATTATGTGACAATTTACTACGGACATCTTTATGTTTTTATGCATATCAGACCTTATGCTTGGGAAACGTGTCAATATTATGTGAAGATATAACTTTGTTTTACAAAATTTATATGTCCTGTCGCGTCGCATTATGATTATATGGCAAATAAGAAAAATAGAATCAACATTTAGTAAAAAGTCTCAAATTGTAACAAAATTGATGCCGTGCAGGCTGCTTTTTTGTCTATCCAAAAGATACTAGTGCTCCTAGACTCTATATTCTTCGGAAACAAAAATGACATGTACCTTTATTCAATTGCTATCTTCGAAGTTATATAAGTTTTAGAATAAATGTTTTTATCAGTAAAATATATGCGTCCGTTTCACCTAAAAGTTTAATAAAAGTAATTTGATAACATTTTCATATGTAACTTTATTCTACGCATAGGTCGATATATTTTTTGAAGTTATACTTCTTTAGCCGCGTTATGAAAAAATTATGAGAGTGAAATTTTCATCACTGTAACACAAAATTTTAACATAATGAAGTTAGCCGCGGGCGCGTTATTTGCAATATTTTATTTTCCAAGTGACCGTGGGGCAGATTTGAACAAAGCAAACAGGGCAGATTTGAACGGGCAAATTTGAAATGAAATGAAATTTTAAACGATGCCAAAGAAGAATAACTTCTCACGCGCCTACATAAGTACACGCACCCATTTTTTGAACAATTTTTTTGTTTTTATTTTGTTATGATACATCATACAAAAATACATACAACCTTTGATGTTCACCCTTCTACCACCAACCCCTATTTTTTATGACGGTACGAAGTTCGCTGGACCAACTAGTTTTATGTATAAAAATCATTTATTTCTTTACTGATAAAATACAAGGAAGAATCATTCGAGAATGTTTGTATGGAAAAAACATAGCCCGCCACCCCTCTTATCGTCTTCGTTAACTATTTCGCAGACGCTAAAATACATAACATAGAGTATTATCTCATACAACATAGCATATATGTAAGCCCTACTCCCAAGTGACATAAAGAACTTTGGTAACAGATGTGAACAACTGCTTTCGCTCCCTGTGATTCGATTTAGGAATGTATATATAACTACAACATATATTATTTACTATGTTGTATGTTAGCAGAATAGAAAGGTGATATACAATGATTATTACAGCTATTTCTTTGGCGTTGTTGTGAATCTGAATATAAAACCTCCTATTTATGTTACAAGTTTTTTCCTATAAGATCTTCAGCCTATTGATGCCCCACTGCTGGGGCACAAGCCGTCCCTATAGATGTAATAGGGAGATTGGGCCATGACCCACCACGCGAGCCCAGTGCAGATTGGCGGGTGCTAACGACTGCAGATGCAGCCGGGACAAATGGCTTAACGTGCCTTCCGAAGCACGGAGAACTCGAGATAGAAGTTTTTTTGGTGTCACCCATCCGATGAGCGACCGCTGCGAAAGTTGCTTAACTTCAACGGTCGCAGCTCCTTGAATAATGATAACTTTACATAATAGGGATGATGACTAATTTTTTTTCTTCGTTTATAAGGCAGAATGCCCCGAATGGCTAGGGAGTGGAACTCCTTGCCGAGGTCTGTTTTCCCGGACCAATATAATCTGGACATCTTCAAGGCCAGAGTGAACAGGCATCTTCTAGACAGGCGTGTACCATCCAGGCCTCATCATCGCGTTCCATCAGGCGAGATTGTGGTCAAACGCCTTGCCTATTAGGCATAAAAAAAAGATTAACAGATGGTATTGGACAGTTGAGGAGCTCGATGGCGCAACTGGTTAGCGCGTTCGGCTGCGATCGTTGAAGTTAAGCAACTTTCGCAGTGGCAACTCCTTGAATAATGATAACCTTACATAATAGGGATGATGACTATTTTTTTTTTCTTCGTTTATAAAGCAGATTGCCACTATTCCAACGCGTAGAAAGAAGTTTGATGACACATTTCTTTGTCGCACTACCCGTAAATGGAATGGTCTGCCTGCTCACGTGTTCCCTCCCTCTTACAACCTGGGATCCTTTAAAAGAGGCGTGAAGAAGCAACATGCAGGCCGGCGGAGGATGGCTGGTGTGCCAGGTAGAACTGCTGTTTCAGCTATCTTCGCGTCTGGACTTCACTTTCACTTAACATCAGGTCGGGTGGAGTCATTTGTGGAACCCATCTGTAAAAAAAACACCTTTAAATCTCGGTGTTTTTTTTTATGTTATAGGGGGCATACGAGCAGACGGCTCACCTGATGTGATTACCGTCGCCCATGAACACTTGCAACACCAGGAGTATCACAAATGCGATGCCGGCCTTTAAGGAAGGAGTACGCTCTTTTTTTTGAAGGTTTTTGGGTCGTATTGGTCCGGAAACACTGCTGGCGACAATATATTCCACAGTTTTGTCGTACGTAGTAAAAAATTTCGACAAAAACGCACGGTTGTGGATAGCCACGCATCAAGATGATGGGGATGAAATTTTTGTCGCGATGTACGATGGCGAAATGCAGCAGCTGGAATTAATCCGAACAATTCCTCAGAACACTCCCCGTGATAAATGCGATAGAAGATGCAGAGCGAAGCTACATCCCTACGCAAAGCCAAAGAATCAAGCTGATCGGAAAGGTCCTGGTCGTCGCCGATTCGAGCCGCTCGGCGCTGGATGCGATCTAAAGGGAGAAGCTGGTACTGGGGTGCCCCTGCCCAAAGATGATAGCAGTACTCCATGTGAGGCTGAACCTGTGCCTTATAAAGTTGCAGTCGGTGGGCCGGTGTGAAGTACATTCTCGATCTATTGAGCACACCAAGCTTCTTCGAGGCCAATTTGGCCTTGCCCTCTAAATGATCCCGGAACTGGTCGTCGCTCGATATGTCAACGCCAAGAATTCCAATACTAGCTGAGGCAGTTAGAGGAGTGTACTGAAAAAGAGGAGATACGATAAATGGTAATTTTTTTGCGGTATCCGAAACTCTTAAATTCTTAACTGTCACTTGAAATTCATCAAACAGATTATCTTGTCCTCCGGTGACAAATCGAAGTACGTCGCTTGTTCCGTGATAAAGTACCAAATTTAGAAAGTTATTAAAATTATCCAATCTATATTTGGTAATTCTTTCAGATAGGATTTTCACTTTAATTTCGATGTTTATCTTAAGCGGGGTCTCCGGCAAAAGTTTTTCGAAAACATTTAATAAAAACATATACATACGTGAATACAAAATTTTGTTTCTGGAATATGGTTCTCTACTCACCCCGTGTACTGGTCTCGTGGCAGTCGTACACCAAATACACAGGGCTACGTTCAAAAACAACCATCTAGGTGCAACAAATGTCAAAGGAGACCGGGCACTTTTCATAGAAAAAATGCTAAACTTGTACACAGTTCAATTTGGTCTCAAAATAAAGCCAAAATTATTTGCTACATAAAACTACTTTTGCCTTATTTTTAGTGAATCGTAGAAAGAAGTTATTTAATGATTAATATTTTTTGATATAGAAACCCTGAATCTTCAAGGGACAGAATTTTACTTCAAAATATTACTCAAGTAACTGTAAAAATCATGATTCCTTTGCTTTTTCTAAATAAAAAATCAAATGTCAATTTGACAATCTAAAGTGCTAACCACTTGCGCCATCGAGCTCCTACTATATGTTAATTGTTTTCTCGAAAATGTGTCGAAAAACGTTGCATGACTTTTGTATGGATTGATATCCACAAACTCGTCAGTAAGGTAATTCGTCAACTCGTTTGTAATAACCAACTTACCTTACCAATATCATAAATAACTATTACAGATTCGGTACAGAAGTGAAAACGATACGAGAACACACCGACCCGATGAGAAAAAAAATTAAAAAATAATAAAAAAAAATAAAAAATAATAAAAAAAAATATAAAAAAAAATATAAAAAAAATCTAAAGAAAATATAACTAGAAAAAATTCCACGCGGACCAGGCAGCAGACGGGACTCGAACCCGCACCCTTCGCAATCGGGCGAATGCACTGACCAATTATGCTACCGCGGCCCTCACGGACCGCGTCGAAATTCTTTCTAGCTATTCTTAAGCTGCAAGGCAGCGCCATCTCTTCGCATTATAGGTAAACCCACAATTAAACTATAAAAAAAATATTTGAAAATTCTCTCCCCTACAATAATGACGTTTTCTTCTTTCCCACAGGTGCCTCCCATCGATTATCTTCGGCAAGTCACTCTCGACCTAGGAGGAGAGGGAGTGCTAGGCGCCGTCACTGAGAGGCATATGATCCGGAGAGCGCCTCCCACTCACACACAACAAGCCAGGAGTACAGTGCGAGCACTAATCAGAAGATTCAACGAGGTGAGTTTGATGAAATAATAATAATACTTAATAATAACTGTTTTATTGCCTCCAAATTATGATACACTTATTAAAACGTACTACCTAAAGGAAAAACAAAATTACAAGTATGTATCTTAAAATAACATGAAGTGGAGGCAAGAGGACGAGGCTCAGCGTAAGCGGAGCCAAGGTATGCCTTGGCACGGTAATATTATCTATACAGTATTGTGACTCCGCCCTGTCCTTGAAAATAAATGCCTACACCGAACGCTGCGTTGGCACGCGGTAGGGCCGCCAGCCTACAGTATTTTATGTAGTTTTGTTTTTAACGCGAGTGTAGGTAGATTACTCGTTTGTCTCTTTTTTCATCCTAACCACTTATTTATATATTATTCCAGATATTTTGCCCGATGGAAAAACCGAAATACCTAAATATTAGAAACAAATAACGTACTAGTAGATAGGTATATAAAAAATATTCTATAAAGGTAAGACACCTTTCCAATTTTCAGGTAATTTAAAAAATGATATCTCTGGGTGTGTTATTGAAGAGTTCAAGCAACCAAAAACAGCAATTGTGCTGTTGTACGATATTGATCGTCGTTTGTTCTTTTCCATACTAAATTATGTAGGTATCTACTTAATTAAATCAAATATTTACAATACAAAACGCATGTTTAAGCACGGCTAACTGCATAAAAAACAATTCTGACCGTTCGGTCGTCGTTGCGGCGCGGCGGCGCATTCGCGACTGGGTGCACGCCGAGAGCCCCTCGAACTCGAGTGGCGTAGGTATGACTCGCTTTCCGACCGTTTGTATGAAGATAGAATACTGTATGATATTATTACCGTGACCTTGGTCCGCGCTGGTTTTCAGCCCCAACCTTTTCCCTGCGATGTTATGCGGGTCACAGCCAGTAATAAAGAACTGCCAACTATAACACAAAAAAACTTGTGTGTGTTTGTGGTAAATAATTGTATATTGTGTAGCTGTAGGTACATGCGTCAAATTGATAGAAAATTTCAGAAACTAGGAAGGTTAGACAAGGTGGAAAAACAGAATCAAAGGCTTTCCAGTGTGAGTGTCTCAAGTCCTCCGCTGCAAGTTGTTGAAATAACAGAAACTGCTTTGAGTCACTGAAAATTTACGGGAATATTCCCATAATTTTGGGACTATTGGGAATTCAGGTTTCCCGGGAATATTAAGTTTATCGCCGGGACTTGAGAAAAAAAATTGCGAATATTCTAAGAATTACATGCAGTAAATTCCCAATGTTTCCGGGACAATTGGGAATTCAGGTTTCCTGGGAAAATAAAATAAATGCCTGCCCCAGAATAATAAAATAAATGAAATTGCTAATATTCTAAGAACTATATGCAGTGAATTCCCAATGTTTCCGGTAATGGAATTTCTGTCAATTATGTTTGTTAGAATGAAGTGCAATGTAACGAACTTAGTGGAATTTAGCCCTTGGGCCTTCTGAAATGAGCAGGGAGGAGCGTCCGGATCCGTTGAATCATCTTCATAAAAAAAATCTAAAGAAAATTCTACTAGAAAACGCGGTCTAGGAAGCAGACGGGACTCGAACCCGTACTCTTCGCTATCCGGCCATTCACCTTTATGCTACCGCGGCCCTGATGGCCGTGTCGAATTTTCTCTAGCCTTTCGTAAGCTGCAAGGCAGCACCATCTCTTCGCATTGTGGGCAACCCACAATGTCAACTAAATACCTTTACAAGTATTAAACATTTAAATGAAGAAATAGCAATTATAGTTACATATTCATATTTTTAAGCATGCATGTATGTACTAGATTTTTAAATCTAAAGAAAATTTTGCTAGAAAAAGGCCATGCCATTATGCTACCCTGATGGCCGTTACACGCTTAAAAATAAAAGATATAATACCTATATCCTATATGCTTAGTGGATTCTAGCATGACTATAGGAACCTAAACTTAAATTTGACAACAGTGTACCTCCAGTCATTCTCTATACACAATGAAAAGGACAGACTGATGTTAAATTTAATTTTAAGTGTAGAAAATCCTGACAGAATCGACGCCAGCCTTGAGCCTTTATAATACATTGTTTTAAACTTTCATGATCACTAACATTATAGTAATATATATTATTAACGAGATTGTTACCATGTACCTTGTTTTTAGCGAGTATCCGATATTTCGGCACTGTTGCAAGCGCCATGATACGATAGTTACTCCGTGATCATGGCGCTTGCAACAGTGCCGAAATATCGGAAACTCGCTAAAAACAAGGTACATGGTAACAATCCCGTTAATCTATATATATATATAACTCAAAGGTGACTGACGTACATAGTGATCTATTAACGCACAGCCCAAACCACTGGACGGATCGGGCTGAAATTTGGCATGCAGGTAGATGTTATGACGTAGGCATCCACTAAGAAAGAATTTTGATTAATTCTACCCCCAAGGGGATAAAATAGGGAATGGAAGTTTGTATGAAACTTTGACAATTTTAAACCGATCGGGCTGAGACATTGCATGCAGGTATAAGAAGAATCATAGATGAATGCCATTGTGTATAATACAAGCCTGAGAACAAAAACTGTAGTCTACACATCAGCTCTACACCGAAGCGAAGCGAGGGCGGGCCGCTAGTAACATATATTACTATAATTTTAGCCTTTATACTTATACTAAATTTATAAGAACTTAAAGTGGTAATTTAAGCGCGTGTTTAGTTAAATTTTAACGTTATAAAGAGTGCTTTTATGAATTCGTTTTCAACGGGCGTATCTTAAGATCATCCGAACCTGAATAAACATCGTTTAATTACGCTTGCCGCTTTGCTGAGATAGAAGAGATGGAAGGAGGGAGAGTTTAGTCGAATTTAAACTTTATTAATGATGTTGATGGAGTTTCTTTTTCGTTGTAAACTTTTATTAAGTTAACTGTCTGCGCTTACTTTGAAAGCTACAGGCAAAAATTAATAATTGTAAGTGAGGGAAAGGTATTTTGGTATACAGTAAAATAAACATGGGCGGTTTGTTTGGTGAAACGGCAGCGGTTCTTCGTTTTGCTTTGAAGGCTTTGAATCTTGGTACGGTTATCCAATAAGGTATTAGACAATGTTTAAAAAGTACCTACCAATAATAGGCATCTTTAATTCAAATAAATAAATAATAAATAAATATTGCTCGGTGTTTCTCTGAAGGATCGCATCAGAAATGAGGTAATCCGACAAAGAACCAGAGTTATCGACATAGCCCACCGCATTAGCAAGTTGAAGTGGCAGTGGGCTGGCCATATTTGCCGAAGAACCGATAACCGTTGGGGTAGACGAGTTCTGGAGTGGAGATCGCGTCTAGGCAAACGTAGTGTAGGACGTCCTCAGGCACGATGGAGTGACCATTTGCGAAAGGTGGCTGGCAGGAGCTGGATGCAAGTAGCCCAAGATCGATCTGAGTGGCGTGCAATTGGAGAGGCCTATGTCCAGCAGTGGACTAGGATAGGCTGTTGATGATGATGATGATGATTATGAAATAATAAATAAATATTTCCAACACACACCAATTAGCCTAGCCCCAAAGTAAGCACTGTAAGGCTTGTGTTGTGGGATACTAGGGTAACGGATAGAATACATTATATAGTATATATATAAGTATATTTATATAGAAATACATCTGCCCCCATCGGGAATCGAACCAGGAACCTCTCGAATCAGCGACACCATAAAACCCGGCGTACAAACCACTCTGCCACGGAGGTCCTCAAATTAATATAAGCAGCGATTATTTTTTAGAAAACATATTACGGATTTCCTCATTTCTGATTCTATTGCGTGGGGAAATACCGAGAATCGCTCTTTTCATTGCTCGTCGTGTGACTTTGAGCCTGGTCAATGACTTTTGTCTTGAGACACTGAGGTAATTTGGACACAAAGATTTTCGATTGTCGTCGAACTTGCGTGCGAGACGATTGGTAATGACTCTCGAAAACAACTTATAAATATGGATAAGAAGCGAGATTGGTCGATAGTTTAAAATAGTAGTAGATAGTCCAAAAAAGCTTTGTCTCCGTTCTTGAAGAACAGGACAATTTCACCTCTGCCCCATGCTTTCGGCGTTCTACCTTCAAGGATGATGGCAACTTTACTGGTATTCTGCAGTGGATTGAAAAGTGATTACAGCATCACCCGCCGTCTTGTTGTTTTTAAGTTGTTTAAGAGCCATGCTAAGTAAGTTTGGCTCTGGTCTCTAACCTTGCTTTCAACAGGTGCTTGCGTGGAATATAGCTGTCCATAAAAACTCTCAATCTCCCTCGGGATTTAAGTCTTTGATGAAATGATGCTACCCCTAAGACTATGGATCCTTTGTTGCGTTCTGTTCTAACCCGACTTAGCAACCAAAGAATGCTTATTCAACAATAAAGTGTATACTGTAATTTTCCATATAATTGAACTGCAGAGTTGAATTAACGCAGCCCTCACATTATTTCATCAGTTCCCACAGTGCAGTTAGACTTTGGCAACAGGAAAGAACGGTCTATCCGGGTAGCTCAGGTCTTGGTGCTCGAGTTCGCGTGTGTATTTATGTATCTAAATTCAATTAATTTTTTTTAAAAAGGCGATCAGCGCCGGCCGCCTAACAGTTCGATAGACCCTTGTATACGATCTGTATTAAATCGGTCGATCTCGTTTTGGACTTTACAGTCCGGACTCATCCAGGTCAATTTGCGATTTTGTGGTTTCCTGAAGAAGGAGTTCATCATATAGATGTTCTACTTCTCCATATATTCAACCAACATCTGTCCTCTGGCGTTCCGTTGTCCAATCCCAAATTGCCCCTCTTTCAACTCATCACCGCAACGCTTCCACAACCTTGCGTTGAAGTCCCCCATCACAAACGTGTAGTGTTTTGTAACTATGCATGGCTTTTGTGATCTCCTCATACATAGCTTCCACTTCATCATCTGGGTGTGTCGAGGTCGGAGCATAAACCTGTATGACATTCAACGTATATCGTTTTGATAT